TTCTCCACTTTATTACGCAAGTAATTCAGGATGGCTGGAGCAAAGAGTGCATGTTGGGGATTAGCAGGAGATTAGACCAGACAGGTAGGCAGGGGCCAGAGCATGCAGGGCCTTATAAATCTGCATTAACAGAGCTTTATCTTTACCCAAAGGGCAGAAGGAAGCCAGCGAGTGATTTAGGCAAGACAGGAACCTGATGGGAGTGGTTTCAGAAAGCCAGCCAGGTTATCAGGGAGAGAACGGATAGGAGGGAAGGAGAATGAAGGTCAGGAGACTGTCCGAAGGTTGTCACAGTAATCCTCTCCAGGCCTCAGTTTCCTCATCTGTAAAAGGGGAATGATGTTAGCACCTACATAATAAGGTTGTTGTGAGGATTAGAGAAGTTGAAACATGAAAAGAACTTAGGACAGTGCCTGGTACCTAGAAAACCCTCAATAAATATCAACTGTCATTATTAATATAAGTGCAAAGAGATGTGGCCTACACTAAAGCAATAGTCATGGCAATATAAGAATCCAGACTCATGGGCCAGCCCGGTGGCGCACTGGAGAGTGCGCCGCTTGGGAGCGCAGCGGCGCTCCCGCCGAGGGTTCGGATCCCATGTGGAGACCGGTTCCCGCTCACTGGCTGAGCGTGGTGCGGGCGCAGCACCGAGGGTTGCGATCCCGTTACCGGTCAGTAAAAAAGACAAAAAGGAAAAAAAAAAAAAAAGAATCCAGACTCACAACATATTAAAAGGTAAGAAACTTGAGGACTGAGTGATTGTGGAGTGGGAGAGAGCGGGAGGAGGTAAGAGAAGGTTAGCAGCATGATATCACTTTATGTGGAAGCTTTAAAAAGTTGAATTTCATGGAAGTAGAGAGTAGAACGGTGGTTATCAGAGGCAGGGGGAGGCATGGAGCACGGGGATGGGACCTTTATCCACCCCCATCCTTCCTCACTTTCAGCAGAGGAAAGTGAAAAGAAGTTCCCTGAGATGTGTGGAATGTTTTATTTCTAAAACATTCTTGAGGAGTGACCGGTTAGCTCAGTTGGTTGCTGATAACACCAAGTTCCAGGGTTTGATCCCTGTAGCTAGCCACAAAAAAATAAAATACAAAAATAAAACATTCTTGGGAGGCATTTCTAGTGAATAAAATTCTCCACTTTATTACGCAAGTAATTCAGGATGGCTGGAGCAAAGAGTGCATGTTGGGGATTAGCAGGAGATTAGACCAGACAGGTAGGCAGGGGCCAGAGCATGCAGGGCCTTATAAATCTGCATTAACAGAGCTTTATCTTTACCCAAAGGGCAGAAGGAAGCCAGCGAGTGATTTAGGCAAGACAGGAACCTGATGGGAGTGGTTTCAGAAAGCCAGCCAGGTTATCAGGGAGAGAACGGATAGGAGGGAAGGAGAATGAAGGTCAGGAGACTGTCCGAAGGTTGTCACAGTAATCCTCTCCAGGCCTCAGTTTCCTCATCTGTAAAAGGGGAATGATGTTAGCACCTACATAATAAGGTTGTTGTGAGGATTAGAGAAGTTGAAACATGAAAAGAACTTAGGACAGTGCCTGGTACCTAGAAAACCCTCAATAAATATCAACTGTCATTATTAATATAAGTGCAAAGAGATGTGGCCTACACTAAAGCAATAGTCATGGCAATATAAGAATCCAGACTCATGGGCCAGCCCGGTGGCGCACTGGAGAGTGCGCCGCTTGGGAGC